AAACGGAGCTTAAGCAATCTGGGCCTCGCAGACACATAACAAGATTCGTACTAAGAGCAGACTCTTTGCTTACTGAAGGTTTTAGGCATTCAAAATTCAGTTTGAGTCTCCAAACTTCCCAAAGAAGGATTCTAATTATGCTCCATTTTACAGACACTGAAGGTGCCACTCAGATGAAGGGTCCCTCTCAGCTCCCAGCAGCTGCTGTCCAGGCCCCGGCCAGTCACGGGCCCCGCCTGGGCAGCGCGGTGGGCTTGGGCTTCGCCAAGGTGGGACGCAGAGCTCCGCGCAGACGCGCCACGTTTGGCCGCTGTCTGGCTGATTCGTGCCGCTTCTTTTCTTTCTATATTTGGACATAGCGATTTATTGGATTCAAGCAGAAAGGTGCCTCCCTTCAACATTTGGCCCTAGTGGTGTAGACAGCTGCAGTTAGGAAGCAAACAAGGTTCCGACAGACCAGCAAGGCGGCTTTGATGCGGAGAAATTAATAGCCCCTGTCTCACGGAAGCTGAGACGACAGGTGCTGATGCAATTCAAGCAGCAGTGATTATTTTTAAAGGAACTGATGGCCCTTCCGACACGGTCTGGAAGTTAGCGACCTGAAATCTAGGCCCAGCCCTACCACGAAAAGAATCCTGCATTTTGCTAGCCTCAGTGGAACACAGGATGTGCTGACCACTGAGGTCTCTTCCAAGTCCGAGACCGCGGAACACGAGGTGACCTTACTCACAGCGAAGACTCCGCTGTTCAAACCCCACGGGGCACTTGTGCAGGCCCCGTGACTAGGCGTCCACTGGCCCCAGAGAGTCAAAGGAATCAAACACCTTCGTCTTTCCTCTAAACCTGTCCCAACACTACACTGTATACCACTGCATTTTTGGTGGGCTATTTTTAGCGACATAAAATGATGTATTTTAAATGCACCAGCCTCCAACTTTTCTTAATAAGCTAGGAAAATTTTCATATCAATTTTTTCATCCCACAGACACACACTAAGCAGTTACAGTCTACTGTGCTCCACATTGGGTACCAGAGATTCACCAAGAAGCCAAACATCATGGCCATTTTCTTCAAACAGAGCTTGAAATCTCTGGAGTAAAGCAGAAATTAGCCAGAGAGACAAAGAACTGAATAACCAAAGCTGGTACAAGTGTTAGAAAGCTATGATCAGAGTTCACAAAAGATAAATGCTGGAGAGGGTGTGGAGGAAAGGGAGCCCTCCTACACTGCTGGTGGGAATGCAGTTTGGTGCAGCCATTATGGAAAACAGCACAGAGATTCCTCAAAAAACTAAAAACAGACTTACCATATGATCCAGCAACCCCAATGCTGGGCATATATCCAGAGGGAACCTTAATTCAAAAAGACACATGTACCCCAATATTCACAGCAGCACTAGTTACAAGTTACAATAGCCAAGACATGGAAACAGCCTCAATGCCCATCGACAGATGACTGGATAAAGAAGCTGTGGTATACTATTACAGTGGAATACTACTCAGCCATAAAAAAGAATGAAATAATGCCATTTGCAGCAACATGGATGGAACTGGAGATTGTTATTCTAAGTGAAATAAGCCAGAAAGAGAAAAATACCATATGATATCACTGATATGTGGAATCTAAAAAGAAACTGACACAAATGGACTTATCTGCAAACAGAAACAGACTCACAGACATAGAAAACAAACTTACAGTCACCAAAGGGGAAAGGGGGGTGGGAAGGGATAAATTGGGAGTTTGAGATATCCACATATATCCTACTATATATAAAATAGATAAACAACAAGTTTACACTGTAGAGCTCAGGGAACTATATTCAATATCTTCTAGTAACCTACAATGAAAAGGAATATGTGTATGTATATGCATGACTGAAACATGCTGTACACCTGAAATTGACACAGCATTGTAAACTGACTATGTCAATTTTAAAAAAGAGAAAGCTCTGATGGGTGATACACAGCATCACTTTAAGCATATACTTGGGGTGCGGAGCAGAGGGAGGGGAGAAAAATCATCAAAGGCATGGCACTTAGGCCAGAAGCAGCTGAAAGGTTTTCAATTAGAGTCTTTTTCTTAGAA